TGCCAAAGCGACCTTTGTGCATTTACCTGGAGGGCGGGCGACTGGAGTTCCACTTTGGCTGGTGCTACTGGCTGGTTCTGGTGGCAGGTGAGTGAAATATATACATTAAATTGTTTCAGAGCATCAAATATTTTCATTAATTCTCCTTTTTTTAGGCATTCTTTGCTTTATTGCGGGTGTCCTGATCTCCATCATCGATCTGGTCTGGCCACACACTTTCTCCACTGTTCTTGAGGTTTACTATGGCACTCCTTACGATCGCCATGTGATCCTAGAGGAGTCCAGCGATGTGCGGTATAGAAAGCCAAGGAACAGTCGTGGACTTGAAGATCCTCCCGGCCTGGGATCTCGCATTCTGCGTCGTCTCAGCTCCAAGGCTCGGGACATGCAGCAGGGTACAGCGCCGCGGCGAGATAGTCCTGCCGGTGTGTCAAGCAGTGGAGGGGTTGAGAACAAGGCCTTCCAGTCGGATGCCCCCAAAAGCCCGTGGAGATATCCCTTCCGCAGGGCCCAGCAGATGACGCATCAGCAGCAGCAGCACTCGCATCCGCTGCACCAGCACCCGTTGCAGCAGCACCATCAGCACCACCAGCATCATCACCAGCAACAGCTGCAGTTCGTCGGGGGTTCGGTGGTGCAGCATCCCATGCATCACATGCAGCGCACCATGTCCCAGGACTCTGGTTCCAGCATAGCCTCGGCAGCTGTGCAAATCTCGCCGCTGCACAAGCACGCTTTGGCGCGAATGTTACCGTAAGTTTTATTCTTAAAATAAAAATCTATGAAATTGGAGTCTACAGAGTATACATTTCAAGCATTTATAACGTTTATTATGACTCTCTTCTTACAGTAATCCTCCAGTGGAGCGCATCCGGGACATGGATCACTGGTGATTGCCATTGGACAAACCATAAAAATCAAACATTTTTATTGGGCTACTTAATTCTTGGACTTGACTAATTGGAAGTAATTTTAAAAACCACTTGATGACAAAACAATTTGTGATAATTTTTTAATTTAAACAAAACAAATCCAGCACGACATATAGAAGCAACAAATTCAATTATAATATACAAGATCACATAATGTTGATATGAACAAAACAATTATAAACCTAAATTATTATTAAAATATATATTTAAATAATAAATTATTTAGAAGTAAGCTAATCAATTATAAATACGATGAAATCATGTGAAAAAGATAAATCAAATTTAGGGACCAATATGTTTTTAGTGATGTTCATTTGTGATAAGACAATCCTGCCACACACGCACACAGCAGCAAACACGTGTTTAAGAGTTACGACAAGGATCAGATGTTTATGTATAATGACTAATTTATTATTTGTAATATTTGTAATATGAATTCAATGCCAGTGTCTTTAATGAATAAGTCGAAAATATGTAAACTCATTTTAAGTTTAACCTGTAAGCCTTTACGATGTCAAAGAAATTTGAAGAAAAATGATGACTTAAAACGACAAGTGTGTTTATTTTTACCCCCAATGCAAACCTCCACATTTTTTGCCGCCTCATTTCATAAACTACTCATATAAATCAATTATCCCAGCACAGATTATGACGGCACTAGCGAGAATATGAGGCAGGACAGAGCATTGCAAACGAGTGCAAATAAATAAAAACAAATAAAAAGCACTTCATATGCCAGGCGAGCATAAATAGACAGTTATATTGCCCACCCAAAACAATGCACGCGAGCAAGGGAGAATGGCAGCAGCTAAAAGGTCCTGCAAGGACAGAGGGAGAGGGCTATGTCCTGCGTTGCTATCGCACGCTTTTTGGTTTAGAGTTCAAGAAATCAAGATTTATGACATTTTTATTACAAAAACGAGCGCAGTTAGTTGTAGGCGGCGGACCAGCTCCCTCTCCTCCCATCTCCCACTCTCGCATCCTGCATCTACTGGCGCTGACTTCAAAAATATGCAGCCAGGCGCGTCAAGCCATTATTTTGACTTGGGCCTTGGAATCGGAATGAAGGACACTGAAAAAATTGGTATTTAAAATATTAACATATGTATAAATATATTTTTTGTAATTTTTTTTTGAAATTTTTAAACTAGCAAAATTGTTTATATATTAAATTGTAAAGGGGGTCTTATTACAATATTTATCAAATTTAATAAATCTCATATCACAATCACTATAGCCACTTATATCAAGATTTTAGATATGATACTTTATGTGGAATATCCTCTTTTATAATACTTGGGATAATTTCATATCATATATTTTTAAATAAAATTCCTCTCAGTGTCCTTGCTGGCGCTTTGGCTTGCGCTGGGAAATGCCGCCACATGCAACGGAAGGCGCATAATTCACAAAACAGCAGGCGATACTGCACCTCCGGAGAGATGGGGCTTCGGTGGGCAGCTGGCAGAGTCAAATGCAATGGGAATCTGTGCACCGTATACAAGAACACTGCCCAGCATTCCACCTTAGGATGCTTTTTGACTCTCCATTTTAATATAAACAAATTGCAAAACGTTCTTATTTATGACATTTTTTCCTTTACTTCTTCGGTTTCTTCGGTAAGTCTCAAAGTGGGAAATGTATGGAATACTGAGTTGCTTTAATATGTATATTTCGGCAAGATTTAAGAAAGTGCTTAAATAAGGATAAAACGATTGATTAGGAAAATATATACCCGATATAAAATAATTTGTTGATTTCTTATTAAAATATTCTACTAAAAAACATGAAAATTATGTTCTCAGTTTAAAACCACAGTTAGTTTGTTGTATGTTAAACCCTTTTTTCGTAAGAATGCTTTGTTTTTCACCAATTGCGGTTACTGCATATTTTCCAGGGTTCCAGGGTTCCAGGGTTCCAGGACTCGTGTCCTCGCACAAGGAAAATTCCATTAACAATACGCATCAATTTGCATCGATCACAGCGGGGCTAACAATATGTCCAATATGCCAAACAGAAACAATGAGGGCAAAAGGAGAATAAAATACGATAAAATGAAATGAAATAAAATCGAGTTGCATTCGTGGGAGTAAGATAAATTCTCTTCGCAGCTGTGCTAACGAGCAGCCCCGGGGAAAGCAGGACGACTGGGGGGCTGATGGCGGTTGGTTGTATAGACTTTTTGTCAAGGCAGCAAACAAACAAGTATTTGCTGAGTAATGCCAATGCTCTTATTTTACGCGGGCGGAAAAAAATGGGGGTGATGGCGGTGCCCTCGAGGAGTCTTTCGCCAGCCATGTCCTTTGCCTTTTGCTTAATACAAATGAAAATGGATGAGCTACTAAGCGTCGTCTTTTGCCGCTGCTGCTGCTGCTGCAGTTGTTGCATTCGAATGTTGCATTGCATTGACTGAATAAAATGAAATGAAAACGTTGCAACAAGCTAACAACGAACCCGTTTCCTCCCCTCCACCCCGCATCCTGTGCTAGGGAATGCACTTTGTTTCTATGACACTCCCCCGGGGGACCGTCTTCATTCACTTTTCACTTTCCCGCTGCGCATGTGTTTTGTCTTTGTTTTAGCCCATTTATTTATTTAAGTCAATTTCGTAGAGTGTGTTTGAGCATTTTGTTGCAATTCGTTTTCGGGTTTCAGTTGCTGTCTGCCTTCTTCGTTGCCAATTTTTATTTGGCGTCCTGTATAAGGCGCGAGCAGCTTGATGACAATTTTTACTTTGAGTGATTGCCGCTCTGTTCATGGGTAGGTTGGCCAGAACAGTCTTTACGGGTTATCAAGGGATACAACAAATTTCACTGAACTAAGGGATAATTAGCTACTTCTGCTTGACTTTAATGGGCTTAGCTTAGTACCTAAAATTACCAATTAAAAATCATGTCCTTAAACTAAAGATCAACTTGTGAGTGTCCATGAATGAAACTAGAACTCTTAATGGGTTGATATAAGAAAACAATAACTTAAGAAACGAAGCCCTAAAATTGTGATAATAAAGGGATGTTTTTTATGACTTTATAGGAAATCTGTAATACATACCACCTTGCTGTAAAATACCCTAATAGCATAAAAAAATAATAAGAATTTTTTAAAAATTTTTATTAAATTTTTAAGAATACACTTACGCTGTTTTACACACTTTAAATTGAATTTACATGAAACGTACATTTCCCGTTACTCACTTATACATTGGTTTGAAACTCCACTAAGCATACGCACTTACCAAATTTATACCTATTTTCCGCCTTGTATAAGAGTTGACGGACACAAAATTTGAGATATTTTCTCTTGAATTTGTTTCATATTCAGCTCTTTTGCTTAATTAATTGTAGCTTAAATTTTGATAATTTTATAATCGTATTTTCAACGATCAGAAATGTAAAGAAGTGGTTAAAATATAAGATAATAGTTTAATTTCTGTTTATAAATACAACTTTGAATATAAATGTACTTTCCTTGGTCAGAATTCTAGGCTAAATCCATTTTTTACAAGGAATGTATATAGTTCTATATTAAGAACCTAAGGATCTAAGAGCTCTAAGCCTTTAAATATTATAGTTTTGTGTAATAATAGAACAGATAAAAAAGAAGCTGATTATGGATGGAAAAAGGATGCTACATATATATTGTCGGAAAGGCCGCCTAAACTATATAAACATGTCCTGTCAACGATAATAACTTTATCGAGAACTTCATCATAACGAATATAACTTGGATTCGGCCAACAAAATTCTTATCTAGCAAACGGTGGAATCGGACAAATTGGTGACACTAGGGCAACTTCTCGACTGCCATTACATTATCTTGTCCGATTTTCGCATTTGCACTTAATCAGTGAGAGAATTTGTGGCGCTCTCTTTATTCAGCCTCCCGTGGGTTTTCGTGGAGGTTACGGCGCTCGGCTTCCTGGGGAGTTCGGCATCGCGTGAGCCTCGCGTGAGCTTCGGCAACCGATGGCCTGGGCTTCGGGCTGACGACTTCCGGCGGGGATTGTGGGGGCTTGTGGGGCTCTGCCCTGGCTGGGCCGAGTCAGTTGAAGCTCAGCCGTCGGACTGTTTGAAACGTTTAAGCGGGGATGCTGGCGCTCGGTGCGGCAGCCGTCGAATAGCGAAGTTATCGGGCCTCGTCCTGCAAGGAGTCGGGTTCGTAGTCGCGAATATAGCATAACTGGTGCCGCCAACAGGACGAATTATCGAAATCAATAAGCGCTAATTAGAATATTCCGCCCCGATTGGGAAGACTGCAGCAGGGCTAGATTGGGAAAGCATTGGGAACGTGAAATGCGGGCGCGGGAAATGTTTGCGTGTTTATGTCCCCGCAATTGCTTGGGAAAGTGAGCGAAAGGAGCCGCTCCACTCCTGCTTGGCAGTTCCTTCTGGGCGCCCTAATTGCCCGCTCTCGTTCGCAGGCATACACTAAAACCAGCTACTAAGTATTGGCCAGGCTACCGCGAGTGTGTGTGCTGTGTTTGTTTGTGTTTTGATGGTCACGTGGTCAGCTCCGAGTTGGCCCACTGCCTCCTTGTGCGTGACAAAAGTGCCGCAGCAACAGCAACAGCAACGGCAGCAAAAACATCCAAATTAGAAACAACAACTGCAATAAAGGATTATCCTGCGTGGGACAAATTTAAATTGTTGGCCAGGTAAGTTGGCCTCACTTTTTGCTCTTTAAGAGTGACTTTTTTGCCGGAAACTTTGTAAGCTAAAGTTTAAATCGCCTCCCGCCCACAGTTCTTGCAGTGAGAGAAAAAATAATATATATAAAGTTGAATAAACGCCTGTTTTATCCTGTAACTTTGGGAAAGCTAACGTATTGAGTTTGCTTTTTATTTGTTTGTGCGAGCAACAATTACGTGACTCTCTGGAGTAAAAGGGAAAACTATTATGAAAGGTTATTATTCAAGGATTGTTTTATAATTTAAAATGATTTATGTTATACAAAAAGGCTCTTGGGAAAATTATACTATTTTAACAAATTTTAATATTCAAGTTACACAGGAGTAACACAGAAGTTTTCGCTGATTTGAAATCTATTTAAATTCTGATGTGATCTTTAGGTATTCTAGATTTCTTAAGACCCCTTAAAGACAGTCAACAATTTTGATACTATTTATTACATGGATTTCATTATTTTGTATATAAAATATTAAACTCATTAAGCTGATTTGACTTTAAACTTTGGCTTTTTTCCCAGTGTGGGCGTTGTGGAATTCGTGGTTTTAAGCTCTTGTCTCGATGCGCCAGTTTTTCACTTTCGCCGCCCTCCCGATTTGCCCCCCGTCGTTCGCAACTTCTATACGTATTCCCCCGTGATCTCCCTCGTCTCTCCCCTCCTTCGACGCCACTGGCCCGCGCCGATTGCCGTAACTTAAAATGCGCCAACTGACTGCCAGAAAGTTGCCAAAAACTTTTGCCTAAAGTTTATTTACTTGTTTTTTTTGCGTCTTTTTTTGTTCATCTTTTTTCCTTTTTTTCTGCCCTGCCTAACTGATCTTTGTTGCCATTGTCTAGCAATGCAAAATACGAGAATGGGAAATTGTTGTCAGTAGAAAAGAGGTAGACTGTTAAGGGGTTACGCCAGCCTGAAAATAATGAAAAATCTAATTTTTTTATTTTATTTTATTTCATTGTAACTAATGTTTTGATCTTAGAATGTTTCATTAGTTCCACTAAAAATTTTGTAAATATATAATTTAAAAACCCTCAATTTCCATTCTGAAAAAGAGATAATTAAGTTTCTGAAAATTTACTTGTGTTATAATTTATTATTTATTTATGTTTGCCAGGAACTTAAAGAAATCCCTCTTATTATTTGTCCAAGATACCTTTAAGACCTAAGAGAACCTTTGACTATATCAAACGAAGATTAAAATACTTTCTTGTCGATGTAACCTTGGATGTTTATAAAGTAAATACAGCTGAAACTGATGTTCCATCGAAGTTAGAGATACTTACAGCACGTGGGAACAGTAAAGTTTCATGGGCTCAGGCCAAGTTAACTTTTGAACCAACTTGGCCCGGAGCAGGCCAAAATGACTTTCAGCTGTTTATTAAATTTGCATGCCGCCTTTCATTAGGGCAAAAGTGACAACTTTCCGTTCGAGCTTCTTTGCAACCTGTTCTGCAAACAAGGACATTTCCAACTTAATTTCAGGGAAAGTAAATAAATTAGTTAAGCAGCAGAAGTAGGGCACAGTTGGGAAAGAGTAATATTTAAATCTTGTCGAGAAATGTCGAATCTCTGGCTCTTATTTTTGGACAATTAAAATATGCAAATGAGCCACCAACAAAGCCTCTCAAATGGACACGCACGACTACCCCAAAAATGGATATAATGGCCAAGGGCTGGCTCTGGCTGTGTGCTGCCAGCCACAGATACGAATGCGGAGATAGAGATACAAATTTGTTGGCTACATTTTTGATTGGCTCCCTCGCGCACTGCCCACAAACATTTTTGACAATTTCCAAAAGCCTAATGGCTAATTGAGCTGGAGGATGGCGGACGGAGTCAAGGGTAGACACTGTCGCCTGCAATTGTTGGACTACGAATTTATGGCGAAAAGTCAATTACGTGCAATGGGTAGAACGGAAAAGGGAAGAGAGATACGTTTCCCCAGAGGGATTCGCAGTTGGGGGGTTAGTAAGTTGACAGTGCTACTTATGAACATGCCCGAGTGCCATATATATGAGGCTTATCGGGGGTATGTATTTTTTCCGTGAATGCGTACTTCAAAAAGGCATTAAGCCAAAGCGTATAAACAAAAGTTATGCATACCCAACCTTAACCGACGACGGGTTAATGTGATTTTAATGTACTTTTTACCCTCCTCCTACCATCGGCCTCTTATCCCTTCACCCCTTGAGCTCTGTATTTCCCTGTGTGTGTGTGTGCCGAGTGAGTTAAAGTTTTATGCAATTTCATCACTCTTTTTTAATGTGTACATTAAGAAAGTTTTTGTACTTCTTCGCAAGTTTCTGCAGTTGTGAAAATTGAATAGTAAATCTTGACATACAAATTTGACCTTATTTTGAAGAGCCTTGTCAAGTTGGCATTATCCTTGATTGCAGAAGTTCTTAATTTAAATGTATGAATAATTTAAATTATTCTTAAAAGATCTAAGGAAGAGATGCTGAGGATGGAGAAGGTGGCTGCTTCCTGAAACAGCCTTCAGCTGTTTGACTTGGATAAGACTTTTAATTTTTTAGAACACTTATTAAAATAGCAAAATAAATTTTGAAAAAACACTAAATTTGAACAGTTATAAAATTTATATTCTTTAGTTTCTATATTTTTCAAAATACTTTTGGTCTTTGCCGCGGAAAAGATTTCCCAGAGTTTAATATACTTTATAAAACCTGGCCAATAAGGCTACTCAAATAGTATAACAAATTGGAAATATGAGGCTTCTATACCAATAAGGACAAAGTGCTTTGCGTGTGGCTCCTTACAGATAACAAAAGGCGCTAAAGGGAACATTTTCCAAGCGTTTGAAATCAATCTTCCTAATGACAGACAAACCAGACAGAATCAGCAACTTGAATAAAAGGCGGCTGGCTGGTAGACACGTGCGTTATTCTGTGAATTTCACGCTCAAGTATCTGGCACTTGGAACGGTAATCGATCCAAGCAGCAACAGAATGAAATGGCATAAAAAGTGTATATTAACAAACGGCAAACAAACCTGACGTGGCACGAAAACTCACAGAAAAGAAGCAAACAGATGTTGGCTGTGGCTGCAAATGATTCCGAAACAATTCTCACCTTTTGAAGGAGATGCTTCAGGTGGTGGCAGCGCAGGCACTCCTCAGGGAGTTCGGTTTAGTTCTTGGAACAGGAAATACAATTGAAGTCCTGGCTGGATAGCTTTCCGTCAGGCTTTGTCTCAATTGATTGATTTGAAAGCAGAGCAATATATCTAAAAGGAAATTTGGGATTACTTGCAATGAATAGAACTCGAAATTTGGTGGCTAAGGCAAATTTGTTTTATTTTTATTTAATTCTAGAGCCGGGAGAGTATTTTCAATAGCCATTAAAATGTAGTGAGCCAGCGAAATTCAATACTAAAGTATATAGTACTTTTCGCAGTCAAAGAGCCCTGCTGGGAATTTTAGTGGGCCTGCCAGCCATTAAAGGTGGGTGGCGAACAGCCAGCCATTCGTCCTTAGTGGCTTCGTCTTGGTTTTGGTCTTTGCATTTATATTGTATATTCAATGATGAGTATGTTATTTTACCGAAATGAAACATTATTTTGCGCAATATTTCTGCCTTTTACGATGCCAATGCCAACAGAATTCTCTGTGGGGGGATGATCAGAGAGTCAGAGGTCTCCATTTTGGGCTACTACACCGCCAAGTCCTCGTCCTTGTGGCTCTCTCATCTCATCGTCTGTGTGTGGCTTATCTGCAAGTTTGATGGATTTTTATCCCTTTTGGCCGCTTCTCCGTGTGGGCCTGCCTTACTTTTATTATTCGTTAGCTCTCACTCGCCTCCAAACCTTCTTTGCCCACATCTTTTTGTGGGCTCCTCGGAATTTGCTTCCGGTTCGGCTTCGGTAGGTAGGTTTGGTCTGGTGTTTTCCGTTTTGCTACTGCTCTCGGTGCAATTTTATTATGCCACCACAGACGCACGCATTTTTATTTATTGTGTTTTCCCTTTGCCCTCCGCTTGGCATTTATTTATACTGGTTACATATTCCATCTCTGTCCCAGCTTCTGTCTGTCTCTATCTGTTTTTATTTTTATTTTTTTCTGCGGTGTTGTCGGTGAATTTATAAATATAAATGAGTTTTGCTCGATGAAGGTTAAATTGAAATTTACATCGGTTTCCTTTTACAAGAGCAGACAGGGACAAGGGGGCAGGGAGCCAAAAATAAGTTGTTTAGCTTGATTGGTATGCCGCCTTGTATGATGAAAAACCTGGTGAAAAGTTGTTTAGAATTCGGCATTTCCCATTTTAATTTTGCTAAGCAACCCGCCGGATATCTCTTTCCTTATCCCTTATTCATGTGCCTTTTCTTTTCTCTTTTTTTTTATTTTTTTGGTGTGAAAACTTTATTTGTCTGGCTGCCTTTTGTTTGGTCTTATCATTTGTCAAAAAAAAACAAAAAAAAGAAAAACTTCCTCAAATTGAATATTTGCATAAGTTTATTGAATCAGCGCCATCGGGAGGGTAATGCTAACCAAACCGAGGGGCGAGCATTCGTTCATTCAGGCCTTCTATCCCCATTTGTGGCATCTGTTTGATTTGTATGTTCAGGGCTTTTCCCTTGGCCAAGTCCATTTCTTGATTTTTCGCCCTTTGCAAACTTTTTGTGCAATATTTGGAATAGAATTTACAAGGACATATACGAGATGTAAGTCAATCCGAATATGAATCGTTATAAACTCGAAATTTTATATAAAGAAATCATTGCAATTAACTTTAAAATATTGATATTAAATATAGTTTTAGAAACTAATACTTCGTAATGTCTTGATAGAAATAAATAGTATTATTCTATAATATAGTACACTGGCATACGCCTAAGTAACACCCATTGATACCATTAAAGGCCCTAAATATTTATCTATAACTTGTCTATCAAAGTTAATCAAGCTGGGAGCTACGCTTGAAGCTCGAAAACAATTTGATTGCGATTGGTTGACCGCAAGAACATATAAACAATAAATATTTATACATGGGCAATGGTGTGCGGGAATGCGACATGAAAAGATATTTCCCCTGCGAGCACATAAATTTCGCCCTCTGCTGTGGCATAAAGCCACTGGCTTAAGTGTTGGCCATATGTCAACCAAGGACTTGGCCCCGTCTTTACATACATGTGTACATATAGATTTATTTGTGCGAATGTACAGGAAGCCGAAAGCATTAATCTCAACGACACTAAAAATCAGATATGGCGCAATCGAATCGTTCGCGCCTCCATTAATGTCGTAATATGAAAGCAATTTTCTTAAATTTTTCGCATATTAAACGCTTTTGCCATTAATAATGTTTTTGGCAAAGGAAAATCAGGGGAGTGGGTGACCAGCGAAGAGAAAAAACCAAAGGAAAATTCTGTGCATGTTCCAAATGATCGCTTCAATAACCACAGAGACTATAAGAAACAGGCAAAACAGGCAGAGAGTCCAGTGGACAGGGAACAGAGAGCAGGAAGCAGGGGGATGCGGAAGCGAGTGGCTGAATGAATAACTGACTGAATGACTAGCGGTCGGAATGAGGCAGCAGCAAGTGCATGGCAGATTGAAGTGACGGACTAAGAGATTGTTTGCTCTGGCCGGCCCTTTGAACATGATAAAAATTTATTTAGACCAAACAGAAAAGAATGAGACTGGCGGGAATAATAAACTACAACGACCAGTACCATAGTCGGGCCCAGACACAAAGTGAGAGGGCCAATCGAGGGTCAGGAAGTGCCGGGCAGCCATTGACAGCAGGGGAGTGGCGAGGTGAGTGGGGTATGCCGCAACTATTGTCTAGATTGCCTCCGTGCATGAGTCCTTACTCGGCTGCAGGAGATCCTTGCTCCGGGCACTTCAGTTCATCCATCCGTCCGTCTCTCAGGCAGCCACTGAATGGCAGCAGCGACAGGCCTCCGACGATGACTGCATGCAATAAAATATGTCCATCAAATGTTTCCTTTCATTCCTATTTCAGTGTTACGTTACGTGTGTTTAATGCTTTATCTTGGGCTCTCAGGGTTTGTCTTGGCTTCGTACTACTTAACTTTTTATATATTTAAGTATAGAATATTAAACCAGATAGTTGAAGTTGTCTTTAAATATCACAAGGATTGAGACTTGGGGGGAAAATAAAATCTATATAGTTCTTAAATATTATATCAAGCAGTGTTTTTATATCGTAATGGTATTTTTGTAATGTACATAATTTATTAGATATTAATAAACCAAAAGAATAATGTAGAAGTTAAATTTTATCAATTTAAAATATTTATTTAAATATAAATAGTTACATTTTCACAATTTACAATAATTATTTAAATATAAATAGTTTTAAGTATATTTTATTTAGTACAAATATTTGGAGTAAAGGTTTTGTTAATCTCAAAAGTCTGATTTAAATTTAATATTTTATATTTAATTTTTAATATTTTAACCTAAATGCTTATGAAATATACTTTGCTCTGCTGAAAATTCTTTGCCTGAAACATTTTTAGATAGTCATAGAACAATTTTAAAGATCGATAAACTATATTTTTTCCCTATAATAGCAATGATCGGGTATATCGATTGTTTTATCGTAAAGTAGAACCATCTTTGCTGCTTAGCTGTCACTTTTAAAGGGTATTTATGACTTGGACATAGCCTGCATTGGCACAAATCTGTTTTTTTTGTTTAGTTTCACGGACTTGTCCCTCGGACTACCCCCACTACTGCCCCTCTGTGTTTGTCTATTGGTTGGATGGTTTTGTTGCTGGTCGCTGGCTCGGCCGGCCGACGTTTCCGTTTCCGCTCGCTGTACGCCATGTTGGTTTTGCCATTGCCCATTTGTTGTTTTTGCTGTTTGTTGGGCGTTCTTTGTGTGGGTTAATGTGCGCACTCGACTGTGCGCAAATTGCTCAAGTGTAGTTCAAGTTGAGCCCTCTCTCCTCCTGCCGCCCACTGGTCTGACAGCTTAAATATTTCCACCCAGTGTATATTTTTTTTATTTTTGCGGAAGGAAAGAACCTAAACACAATTTTTTTTTTTTTTATAATTGCCAGCCGGACCATTAGTTTTATCATCATTATTTTGTGCTGAGGGGGAACCTCCGTTATTCTTATGATTATTATTATATTGCCCCACATTGGCACCTTTCCGGCGGTGGCCCTTGCTGCTTATCTGCTGTCCATATTTTTGGTCGCTTATTGTGCTGTCTTACATTCTTATCATTATTAAGGAGCAGGACGACACTCGGCGGACGCGTTGACAAAATGACAATGGCTGTGGGAGGGGGGATAAAGATGGAACAGGAAGAGCCGAGTGTGGGGAACACACCGTCCAAAGGACTTGAAAAATGCTGCCCAACTTTGGGTTGATTTTTTGGTTTGCGTCTTTGTTGCCTATTGATTTGCCTTTTTGTCTATGCCATCCCAGGGCCAACATCCTTTCCATCTCTGCCATCTTGACGCTTTTGGGCCACCTTTTGGGTCTGTTTATTGGCGCTACCTTTTTCGCCTTTGTCAGCGTTTTGTCCTCTTCTACGGCTCACCTTTAAGTTTCCCTTACCTTCTTCCCCATCCCCGTCCTAGCTTTGTATATTTGCAAATCATTATTATTTTCTGGGGACATCTTTTCCTCCAACAGAGATACATGAGATGTCTTTTTGTTCTTCAGTCGTGTGTCAATTTTTTCTACCGTTATTTTATGTCAGTTATTTCTCTCCATTTTTTTTTGTTCTTGGTTTTTTAAGGGAAAAGCAATATTTCTCGTCCTTTGTTGGATATTGCTTATGGCGAATTTTATCGTTGCTTGCCAATCTAAAGATTGTCGAGGAGAGATATTTGGCTTGAAGAATGTGGGGTTGACAAATGGAAATGGTAACTTTTTGTTTGCGTAGATGTTTTATCTGCAGCTCCAGGGGGGATCCTGGGACTTGAATTGAATTTGGTAATGCAACCCAAACGGCAAATGCTTTATTTACTGATTAGTTTTATATTTTAAATATTTATGAAATACTTAAGTATATACACTTGTTTTATGGTTTAATCTTTAGTTTATAAATCATTGAACAAATTTTAATTTATAAATGTTTATGAAATAAAGTAATTGGAGCAAGAGGAATTCAAATTCCAAAGAACGGCTAATTTTAAAGAAATATTTCAAATTTCAAAATTAACATACAGAGTGAGGTTAAAACTATAATAGTTCCTCTTTCATAATATTTTATTTATATTTTTATTTCCAAGTTAATACCATTGTTAATCATTTGTACTCAGTAATTTGTTTGTATTCGGAAGTCTTTCCTCAGATACAGTACCAAATACCTCTTATTAGGTTAATCAGTGGTTTCATCAACAAAATTAAAACTTTGAGTCGTAATATTTTATTATTCCACTCCAAACTGTCGCTTCAATAATTACTCCCCTTAAACTCCATGACTAATGTTGTCAAACCACCTTTTGATTCACCCTGAGTCCCAGCCCCTTAAAACTTTTCCGGCAAGGTGACGAACTTGCTCATCTCTCTTTTGGGAAACTTTTCTGCCCAAAATTGAGTTTTCCAAACCCTGCGAACATGAACATCTGTGTGAGGTCTTAACAGGGCGCGTCGCCTTACAACTCGATAATTGCGGCTTCAACTTGACTTTAACGGAGAAAAAAAAAAAGAATAAAAAGAAAATGAGAGTCGAATAAAAGAGCAAAAGAAACTTGTTCAACTTTTTAACTAGCCTCCAAAACTAAAAACTTTTCAATACTCAAGCCAATGGAACCAATGGATTCACTCCCCGTCTTCCTCTCTTCTCAATTGCAGCTGCTGCCCGCTAGAACGAAGGAGCCGGAGGAGCCTAGAGAAAGTCGAAATGTGCTTCCATTAGGAGCGGGGAAACCGAAACTGGAGAAGTCGCAATCGAAATCGGAATCGGAGGAGAAAAAGTGCAGCGCAAAATCTGCAAACCAAATCCAACTTAAGTCACATCAAATTAAAATCAACAAGCGGAGAAGGACCAGCGGAGAAGGAGTCAAGGAAGAATTATAAAAAAAAATATATATATATTTATAGAGACAGAAAGGGCGAACCGGGAAAATGAAGTGCAATAAAAGTCAAATGGCCACGTTAACAATGTGGAAAATTTTTATGGTCCTGCTCCTTGCGATGGCTCTGCTAATGCCGGTCACATTAGCGCGCCTGCATTCCACTTCCGGCGTTGGAATGTCCGGCGGAGGCAGCAGCCTGGGTCCTGGCGGAGCAGGTGGCGGCGGCGGTGGAGGCGCATCCTCTAAGGATTCACACGGTAAGTCCACCTCTATCCCCCTTAGTTATTTTATTTTCTGATTATTTTAAATGGCCCTGGCTGCAGAACTGCAGAGTCCAGAGTCCGGGCATGGGCCGAGCCAAGTCCAATAAATAAATTTAAATATTTAACTAACTTGCATTCGGAATGCGAACCACTCGCGACTCGTCCGGAGTTGCCAAAAAAAAAGAAAGAAAGAAAAAATACGGAAAAGCGGGAGAGAAAACTTTAGCACCTCGTTGCAACGGGAGGCACGTTGTCCTGGCACGTGTCCTGGCATTTATGATTTCATTTCGCTCCGTTGTAAGCCGCGCCCCAAGTGCAGCTAGTTCCCCAGTATCTTCTCGTTTGGCTGACTCTCTAAACTGTCCATTAGCACCAAAGCAAATGATTGCTGAATTTTCAGAAGGACGACGAAGGATTAAAGTGATGGAGGTTAGGAAGATATAAATTACTTTGTGGGTGGTGTGGAATAATAATAATCTAATACAAACCTCATTTTAAATCATATTTTTTAGTAAATCCATCACTGCCATATCTTGTGTAGAATTAAATATTTAAAAAATGGTAATCCAGGATCAAAATATAGAACGAGTAGTTGATTGAAAACTTTATACCTCAGAGTTTTCCACTTTTTCTTCTGTGTCCCTCATGCTTTTCCAGTGACAACTCTTGGCTAAGCTCTCGCCACAGGTCTTCGGCAAGTCTTAGGCCGGCCGAAAAAAACAGCTTTCAGGTGTTTTGAAGCTCAGAAGAGCTATTTGACAAAACTGCCAACCAAAAGCTTGGCTATTTATTATGCCCACAGGATGTGAGCACACACACACACACACAGACACCATACGCACTCACACAAAGGAGCAAGGTGAACTGCGTAAATCATTTCCACTTTATGCGCTCTCTAAGCCCGGCAGTGTCAACAAACTGCAGAGACAGAGAGAGAGTAAGAGAGGAATGAAAAGGATGAAAAGGATGGGAACCAGCATTATGGAGCATTAAAAACAAGAAAGAAGTATGCGGCCAAGAGCTACGGCTAAGAGATACCCACTACCTTAGGCTGAGAGAAGTTTCTTTTACTAAAAAAAACTTAAAGACTTTGATATTCGAAAAGGATTTGTTTTTAAACCATTAAAATCGCAAAAAATATTTTAAATAAATAAACTAAGGTCTAAGTAGATAAATTTTTATCAAGTATAGATTGGAAAATAAAATATAATATAAAAAATAAATACTAATTGCTTCTCATAGCAAAAGGAATCACTAGCTTTACACTATAAATTTCAAGAATCAAAACGGTTTTCTTATCCCTGGAATAAATTTTCCCAAATGCTATATACCCTTGAGTCGGCTATAAATAGAACGAGAGCAGGGACCATCTCTTGGCAGTCAAAAAGTTTGGCCGTTTAGAAAAGTGTCAAGCATTTTATCACACGAAACCTACCAGAAAGCAGCAAAGGACAGCAGCAACAACAGCCATAATAAATCTTTAAGGAGCTTGGAGTAAGGAAGGCCTTCTCCTGCCGCCTCTCCTCTCCTCTCCTCTCCTCCGTTTTCACCGGCTAATGCATTCCTGCTAAACAGTTGCCCAAAAAAGTATGCAACGAACTGGGAAACTCGACTGACTTACTGACTTACCGGACGAATTGTCGACGTCGCGCTCCCGCCAACAATTTTCAAAAACTTGTCAACGTGTTGAGTGCAGCAGCCATGTGGCCAAATGCTCGGGGGACGCGAGAAGAATGAGGACGGGTGCCCAGTCATCGCGTCACCTTCGTCGCACCTTCGGGCTGCAAACTTTTGGGGCTAGCAACACGTTTCGACCGACGAAAAATCCCTTCCGCCAAAAACAAACAAGCCGAAGGAAGGACTTGGTGATTGCAGGTTTTTGTTATGCCAGGTAGACGTGTTCCCCGCTGGAGGTTGAAGGATTAAGCCTTCAAAAATTCTGGTTTTGCTGGTTGAAGAAAATGTATAACTTCAATTTGTTATATAATTTTTAGTATATAATGCTTGTGGTTTCTCTTTAACAGAAAACTACTACTACGTTTAAAAATTCTTTACATACATTTTAAATGGATTTCGTTTTCCGTCTGTAACTTGATCAAAACCTGTTATTTCCTTTGCTTTCCAAACTAAACTATGTAATTAGCTACTTCTTTGGCTTCCTTGATAAACTTTGGGCCCTTAAAGCAAGCTTGAAGCGAGCTATTGACAAACATCGGTATTCACCTGACTGGATTGGCCTCCCCCAGCTTTCCTTCGCTTTCCTTCGAATTTTTAATTACACAAAGGGATAAAGTGACAAGATGGTTGACAGGTTAGCAGCAGCAGTGGACAGGGCTGTGGCACGCCCACGAATCCGTGGCTTTAATTAATTAAAATTGAACGCTGAAGCTTGTTCTCTATCGTTGTATATAAAATATAGAGAAGAATACTGTATAACAAACCCTTGATGTATATTCAAAGGTTTTCCTTCATATAGTCAAAATTTGAATTGCTTAGCTGGTAGTGTTTTCCAAGTCTTTGAGGCAGTAAGGAATGGTTTTGCTGCATTTTTGGTTCCTTTGTGCACAGAATTTGCGAATTTTGTCGCGCAATTTTCGCAAAACATCAAAATGCAGCAGCGACAGCAGCGAAATTCAAAGAATTCACCACAAAAGCTTTTAAGACAAAGGCTTTTGCGGAAATTCTCAAAAAAAAAAAAAAAAGAGAAGCATTGTACGCAGCAGGGCAGTAGAAGGAGGTCGGTGGGCTAGACGACAGATCACAAAAGCCCTGATACAAGGAAAACATTCGCCGTGCAGCCTCAGATTTTGGAAAGAACATTTCAACCAAAAAACCAAGGAAAATGAAAGTTTACACGTCGCGGCCAGGCGTCTTTTTTGTATGTGTCTGCCCGTGGCTCGCCTAAAATATACTAGGAAAATTTCTAAAGAGTCGCCATGGTAAAGGGTTCTTTCAAGGCGAGAGAGAGGGTGGCACACGGAGAGTGGGTGTGGTACAGAAGCGGGCCCTGGTGAATGGAGCATGAAACCAACTTTTTGCTCCGTTGCCTTGTCGCCTGGTCTTGTATTTTTGTGACTTTCATTTGCCATAAATTATTTTATGTTATTACTATACAATATAGACTAGGGAAGAATGGCGAGAGGGACAGGCAACATGGAAGGTAGTGAAGGTTTTGCAAGGCCAGAGTAGAAATTATTACAAAATATTTCTAAAACGAGATCTATTATGAAATTAGGCATTAAAATGGGACAAATCCAATGTGTTATTCTATTAATATTTATTATTATTATTTGGAAATTTAAACGTTATGCATATTATTGTATTAGGTGCGATATAATATGTTATTTATTGGGGTATAAAAAGCTTCTTAGCTCCCTAACCAATGTCTCTATGGATATTCCTACAAAGCAATTAATACCAAACCAATAAATTAAGCCGTATCAATTCCGAAACGCTTATCCGTTTAGATTAGAGTTCATCGTCGTTTAAGGACTGTCAACCGTAACTCATTAGAATGCCGTGCCAAAGCAATTATTCTTTACTTGGAAATTCAGTCGACGCGACGTTTACCCGAACCAGAACACAATTAAGGCTAAACCTAACTGCATTGATCTATATAAAAACAACTACGATTAGCTGCCGGCTGGCGGGAAAGCCAATTTAAAAATAGGGAAACTTTCTTAGACAAACAAGTGGAGGAAAGCATTTTCTATTTGTAGGCACGGCAATGTTTAATTTTCCTTGACTTCAGGTAACATCAAACATTCAAGCACAAATTGAGTACCGGGAAACGGAAAAAGCCAAGTCCCAGGACAAACAACGCCTTCGTTTTATTGCTGATGATGATGATTTCGTGCCCGAAGAACTCTTTAATGGATATCGTGTTTTATAATTAATATTTATGGCCAATAAACATACGACGCTGCACTAGGAAGGGAGCAATAGAGGAAGTAAGGCAATGTAAATATATATATATTGTAGACTCTGTATGAATTTATATACAGAGTCCAATGTTCTCGACTTGACCGGATTGGAGGACTCCGCCTTGTTTCGTGCTGACCAGTGATTATGTAATAATTAGCTGTACATTAACTATTTGTAACCATGAAATTCCGTACGGCAAGCAGCCCATTCCACGGGAAACTATCTGCATAATAAAGGATTTTGGTTCGTGTTTTGATTTAGGCACGACATCAAAACAAAATCAGAAAGCATTAGTCAAAGGAACTACGAATAACGGATACGCTAAATCCTTTGATGGCAAATGAAAATAACATAATTTTATCTTCAGTAATGTAACTTTTTAATTGAGTTCCTGCTTAACCTATTAAACTATTTTCCAAGATTAACAAGAACCGGGAAACTTGCACCATTACATTTGCCGCTTTAAAAGTTCTTTAACTTGTTTCACAAACTTGGTAAGCTCCCTGTTAGGGCAATTTAATGGCCTTAAGCAAATATTTATATTTAATTTTTAGTGCAATTTTTACGTGAAATTTAACACCAATATAAAAGACCGACTCCGGTGGCAGCTGGGGCAGTGGCCAACACTCGTTTGGACATTTGGCCGCACACGCTGCGTATACGTAATGGCAATTGAAACGCGTCTCTGAGCGCTCTTGTGGGTGTGTGTGTGTCTGCGTGTGTGTGGGGGTGTGTGAAACTATAACAATAAATCTTATTTATGTCTTTTTGTGCGATTTTTATGAGTTGATTTCTGATACCAGTTGGAATTTTTCGGGGTTCACTTTCCCCGAATTGAGTAAGAATAGTTTAAATAAATGGCAGTCAAAAAATGTGTGCTATAAAATACAAATGGCCCAAAGTAGGAGAAGGAGGAGCAGTAGGCAGACGAGGTTGCAAATGCGTTGGTCACGCTCGGCACTCAACCATCTCCCCATCCCCCACCAAAGGGACTCCTCTGTAATCTAATTTAAGCTGCCATTAGTGTTTAACACTGGCGTGGCCGACGAGTTCCTCCAACGAATTGCCTC